GTGCCTACAGCCGAATAAGATTTGATTTAGCTTAAATTAGTCTGACATTAATGCATTCCATCTGAAACTCATGTCTGTTAAATTTGCTCGATGAACAAGCTTTGAACAAAGCTGTGATTTCGTATGACGTATGCGCAGCGCGCACCTCTGAGATATGGTAGTCTCGCGAGTTTGTTTAATATGAGCAAAGGAAGCAAAGTTTCCTTACTTTAGCAAAGGAAAACCAGTCTCCTCTTGGTTTATATCGAAATCCTTCTTTGCAACTCTTCGGTTTGTACTTCTAATTCGTGAACGGCGTTTTGTTTTGTTCTCTCTCCGCATTCGTCACTAATCACGCAACGCCGCGCATCTTTCGTCATCCGCCGGAACTGCTTTAGTGTATGACAGTCAGCGGCTTTATTTGACGACTTGTGGACTGTTCAACTGCAACACCCGCTGACTGCAATGATAGAGCTTGGAATAGCCAGGACAATTTTTTACATAACTCCGACTGGATTCGTCTGAAAGAAGAAAGTCATATACACCTAGGATGCTTCGAGGGTAAGTAAAACACAAGCTAATTAAAATGTTTGGGTGAACTAACCCTTTACGGCCTTGTGCCTACAGCCGAATAAGATTTGATTTAGCTTAAATTAGTCTGACATTAATGCATTCCATCTGAAGCTCATGTCTGTTGAATTTGCTCGATGAACAAGCTTTGAACAAAGCTGTGATTTGCGATATGTTTCAGTCCTGGATGACAAATTCAGTAGTCTGATAAAACAGCTGCATTTCTACTCTATTTTTCACTGTTGCACTCCAATTTCCAAGAGTTTGTGAGGACAGATCTGTGTAGTTTAAGTACACAGGGTACAGGCATGCAGGATGAGAGGTGGATGAATGAGTGTACAGTGAGTGTACACTGTCCTTTAGGATGTGGTATGGAACAGGCTCCGGACCGCAAAACGGATGATGCAGCGGCTGCTCATGCGGTTATGATTTACAGCAGACTTCTGCTCATTTCTCACTGCACTCATTGACACAGCAGTATAAGGAACGCTGCCCGACTTAAAGTTCAGCTGCACTGTGACTTTGATCTTCCTCTGAACTCTGGATAATCAAGCTTCCTCACATCCCCTTCAAGTGCTCGCAATGAGAAAGACAGATTGCCACATTAGCATACAAGGCTAAGAAGACACCTGCAGCCGTAAAAAGGACACAGAGTGTTTTAGCCTGTGATAGAAAGAGGAAGGAGCGAGCAGATAAAAGGAAGGACAGCTGAGACGTGTTCACACGCATTTAGAAACATGAGCGTTGTATGCTTATTACCATGGCCGGACAGGCCTTCTCGATTTATGTGGATTAAATGCCTTTCCTCTTGTCCTAGTTGTGATTGATGAAGTGTTTCGCACTATCTCTCTTGTTTTCCAGAACCTTCAACTTTCCTATAGTCCACTGTCTGTTGACTACCAAATAAGAATATATTGCCTGTATCTGCCTTTTTGTAGTCTTTGTCAAATACCAGCTCCTCTTAATCATGGCTTGCAGGTATTGCCCTGAATCTAGGCAACGGTTTTGTCATTTTGGAAAAGTCTTTTCATCATTCTTTTATTAAACTTGAAATTTTTAATTTTTAATTTGTACTCTCTGATAGTGGAATTCATATACCTTATGACTGCAGTCATTATCAGTACTAGGGCTTCATGATATTGGAAAAAAACTGGCATCGCAATATTTAGTTTTTCTGCGATTATATATGAAAAATACAGGAATTTTCACCATATTGAACAGCTATATTTAGAAAGAACGAATCATTCTAGAGTTAGTGGGATGATTTCATCGCCATATAAAAAAGGGCAGATTTTTTAATTTTTGTAATTATTTATTTATTATTAGTATTTTTTTTTTACTCTGCACGATTTGGGAAAAACATGAAAAATCTGGGTGTTCATCCTTGGGTTTAGTCTTTACAAGAACCAACTTAAACTTTTTTCAGTAACCTTCGAGCTAAACGGTAAACAATTGAGCTTTTATTTTGACTGGTTGCTGGGAAATAAAAATAAGTTCTGCCGGTTTCAGAGTGAATTTTGACTCTGGTTGTCTGAAATCGCGTACTGTCTGAGTAGGTACTACATTTGGATTTAAAAAAGTACTTTCTATATAGTATGAATATGGGTAGTATGAATGAAATTCAGACATACTACATCCGCTATGTTGTTACTGTCACATGACCTACCAGCGTCAGTTGCGTCGCTTCACTGCCATTCATAAATCCTCTCCTGTGGCCTGGGCATGGGATAGTAAAGTGTCCATCGAATGCGCACTTCAGAACCCGGGTGGAAGAAGTAGGTCATCCGGGTACTTTTCGCCTACTGTTTTTCGAATACTATAGCTGCGTCCCAAATGCCGCACTATACACTATGCACTCATACACTATTTACTTATGCACTACGTACTCATCCATGTAGTGTATGAATTATATAAGGTTATTTTGTCATTCATAATCAGAGTCTGATAACAGCTCCTGCTTCGCTATGAAATTTAAGCGGCGACAGTTGAGTGCATGAAGTGTCCAACATTCCACACTTCGTTTTTCGGTTATTTAAGTGCATCATCCGGGTATTTAAAGTGCTCTTTTTCTGTTTTGAAATTTCAGTGTGAACACACTGCCAGCACTATTTATACAAAAAAAGTCATAGAATAGTGCATAAGTACGCGATTTGGGCTATTTGGGACGCACATTATGAATTTAGACATACTACTCACCTCACATACTTAGTTTTTCGCCTACTATATAGTAGGGAAGTATGCGATTTCAGATGCTGCATATGTGTTCGTTTATACGCATTCAGCTAATGATGTCAGTGTCTCAGAATGGTTTGATTGTAGGGATGTAATGATACACCGCGAGCCGGTTTAAAATCAATACAAATATGCAACGATTCAAGTCGGTTGAGATGTTAAACGAATCGCGATACAGTTGGGGGTCGGGGTTTATATTAATGTATCCCTGAGGGCAACTCTTTATTTACTCTATATAGAAAATTAGATAGTATTTTCTTTTCATCTTGCTTCTGTATAATGTATACAGTGGGGTTCAAAAGCTCAGAACTGCTTTGTTTACAGCGGTAACCAAGGAAACGCTGTATCGCTGCTGTTCCGTAAGTGCCACCTGCTGTCAGAGAGTGAATTTGCGTTCTCATTCAGTCCGTCCGTTGTTTTCATTTCCTTCAGATATGTTTTATGTAGCAAAACTTCATAAAACTAAAGTCAGAAAATTCTGTTTTTGCTTTAAACTTTGAAATGATACAATCTTAAATTGAAATCAAAAACTGCTCAAGCTGCATGTATGCAGCATCTTTGTTTGGATCGTGATTGGTTGCCTCTAATTTTAAATGGAAAGAGCAGAGGCGAAGCCTTAGTTTGTCTATACGAAGAGATTTCTTTTATTTGTATTATTTATTTATTTCATTTGGGATTTGTTTTAATAATTCGATTTAGTTTAGATTTTTGACTTAGTTCAATTTCACAAAGAAATATGTAGCATTTTGTCTGAGAAATAATAAAAGGACAACTTTTCATTTATAATTTGTCTTAAAACAGTATTGTGTGTATCGCATCGTGAGTTGAGTGAATCATTACAACCGTAATCGATTGACAGTAAATTAACTGTGTTGCTGAACTATACATGTGTAAATGGTGCACTTGAAAATGAAATTTGTTGAGATAGTGAATTGGTGGGTTTTTGTTAAATGTGAGCCAAAATCATCACAATTAAAATAACCAAAGACTTAAACTACTGAAATAAATGAAGTTTTCCACGACATTCTAATTTATTGAGAAGCACCTGTATTATTTTAAATAAATCATAGCCTGCGCAATGTGACAATCGCACAAAGATGAATTGCGATAATGTTTTCAATATATCGTGCAGCCCTACTAGTCAGTTACTTTATTTGTTTTTATTTATTTATTTTACTGGCAGTAGTTTGATTTTTGAATGCAAGAACATATCTTATAAATGGCCACTGACAGAGGTTTGTAATCAGTGTCAGTTGATCCAAAAATAAGTATAATTGTATAAAGCTTCCAGTTAAGAATGATTAAGTCAGATCAATTCGTTGTTCTAACAACCTACTGACTTGATTTTAATAATATGTAGTTTTACACATCCCTAACAACAGATAAGTGTTTTTCTTCACTTGGTTGAACAAATGTGTTGAAGCTGTGCAAAAACTTTATGAACATGTATATGCCAATATTACAGACATACAGAATCCAACAATACCAGCATCTAATTTGCAATCAGTATTTCGGTCTTGTTTTGCGTTAAGAATATCTAACATCCTTAAAACAAAATAAATTTGCTTCTCAGGCATGTAATACTGATTGAATACTGATGAAAAATACTGATTAAGAAAAGGTTTTGTTGCAGTTCACGCCAGATTCTCTTTTCTTCGACTTTGTAGTATGTAATTCTTTAGTTGGAGTCTCAGACATCCTAAGCTGTTGAAAAAACTATTAACAGCAAGAGTTTGTTAGCACAATCTTAGGAGCGATGATCTTCTGGCTGTTGTGATTCATCCATCTCTGATTTTTTTGGATTGTTCCTTGGAAAGGCAGTGACATTTGCAAATGATTAAAATCTTGTATTGGTCATCGAATAATATAAGCTTTTTTACGGCTAATCTAGAGGACGTTATCTTTCTAATATGTATGAAGAATTAATAATAACATGAGATTATTTGTCATTTATTATTATTTTTTAAAATATAATATTCAGTTATTTTTACACTGGTAAAAAAAGTCCATATAAAAGCTTATTTCATTCATAAAAATGGTGGAATTGTATTTATTTATTTGCTGATTTAGTTATTTTTTATGTCTAGTAATATAACATTTATGTAATTTTGTTCAGTAAGGCATGACTAATGGCAGATGCTGATCATCTCAAACGACCATATATTGCCTGAAGTATCAGTCTGTCACTATATTGTATCAGTATGGAATCACATCACATTTTAGAAAGGGATACATCATGAAAATATGCTAAAAATTATCAAAATCCCACAGTTGTGCTCAGTTGTGGGTTGGGCTGGCCAGCTCTCCTCTGAGGGAGTGCAGGGCCAGAGTTAATTAGGCATATTTAATCACCTGAAGTCACTCTCTCTGACACCATTTAACCCCCTTGTAAATGGGTTATTATTACTTCTAAAATCCCCTCTGTGGATTCAGGCATGAAAGGGCTATTTTAGCTCTGCAAAGTGAAATCCTGTCGAAATGCATAAGAATGCATCCCCCCCTTCCCCTCAGTAATAAAGAAATACTAGTCTCCTCTATTCTAACCATCATTTGCTTTGTGTGGAATTAGTAAAGACTTCTGTTTTGTATAAACAATTCTCTTGCCTGTGAAAGATTAGACATTCAGGGCTTGAATATGTTTTAATTACATTTGCTATCTTTATGATTATAATATCACAGAGCTCTGCTCTTTACGTGAGGCAATCAGTGAAATTAATTCCACGATTTGAGGAATACATGCTGTGTTTATTCATCTATGAATGTAAGTTTTTGTGGCTTTCAAATTAAGCTCTGCACAGCGACGCTATATGGCTGGAAACATCTGCACATGAGTGACCAGAAGCTATTATGTGTCAATGTATCGACTGCTTTATAGCGTCAAATCTGGTCTTGGCTTGTTGTACCTTAACCAAACTCTCAGCTACAGCTTATCAGCAGAAGATGTAAAATGAGTCAACGTTCTCAGAAAACACTCTGCTCTTTTAAACAGGTTTTCCAGATAGCTGATAATTCTAATAATCATCACACTACACGGAATACAGGTTTACTCACAGGTCTAATAATGATCCCTGCCAGAAAATGAAGAACTGTTTTGTACAGGAAAATGGGCTTTTGATGTGAAATAGATACACCGTTTTTAGGCTTTCGAGAGTGGCAATACCGCTTCGCTGATGTGGATGGAGCACTTGAGGCATTCGGTCGTTATGACCGTCCGCGGTTATACATGTGATATAGGCCTTTACATGCGTAACTGATCATGTCTATGCACTCATTCTGAACCACTATATGCACTTCAGTGTGCTTATATTTTGTGAGTCTCATCGTGCATGCACTTGGGTGACCTTTATTAAGGTTGATCTCTTGCTTACAGAAAGCTATTGCGGAACAGGAGGATGTTCTCAAAAGGTAATAAAGGAATCCGGGTGATTTGCTTTTGTTTTATGAAAAGCTTTAGAAATAGGCTTCCTAGGTGCTCCAATTGATTGAGCGCCACCCTGATTTCCATGTTTGGTCAGTCCCTGCAGTCTGTTCTATACATGGGAATAGCGAAGAACAACCATTCCATCCCTTTACTCAGTGTGCAGACAAAACAAAGGAGTGATTCCATACTGACATATCTTAAATGGATAGTTTACACTTACTTGCCTTTATTTGACAAACAGAAAACGTGATTTTTTTTTGTTGACTCCCATTAGAAAATCTGTCATATTTTGCCTCAAAATATATTTTCCGATAATAATAACAGGCACCAGAACGCGGTTTGGCGGATAGACAGACGTACAGATTGATAGATAGATAAATACATAAATATTGTGTGATTGATATATTTAATAAATAAAAACATTAAATGCATTTTTTTTGCATTTTTCTTTTGCTTTTTTTTGCATTGCGCTAGTGTCATATACAATTAAATAAAAAAGTGGATGGTAATTTAAACCGTCAAGTGCCAGAAAGCACAAAAAGCTGTTAAAGGTACACTGTAAAAAAAATCATTATTTGAAGTTGTAAATAAAACAAAGATTGTTTTATTATTAAACATTATTGGAGTACGCCAGTCTTTACTTCAAGATTTTACATTTAATTCAGTGTATTACTTGCCATTTCATTGTAATTATTTGTGAAATTTACTAGCAATTATTAAAATTGTTTCAAAGTAAATCCTACACATTTTTTTTTCAGTCTAGTCTTCTGAAGCTTTTTGTATGGATCAGTCAAAAAAAAAAGTAAAAAGCATTTTTATTCATTGAACATTCATGCATCATATACGTTTACTCTACAAATATAAAAAATAATTTCTAAATATGACTTGGTGTGGTATGCATTGATAAAATGAGTGTATTAGAATAAATGTTATGCTTCCAGTGTGTTTGTGTGGATCATTGGCATAGAGCTGTCTGATGGTCTTGTGGTTCAGTAGTGTTGTCCTCTCTGTAGGCATTCGAGAGTACTTTTAGATATTGTGGTTTGTTTTATTCTTAGAGACCATTGTGAGTGCTCTTGCCTCCCTCTTAAATAACTCCCAGCAGTTACCATTGTTATTCTGCAAATGGTACGAACCACAGTCTTGGCTTCTATGTGACTCTGGCCAGTGAAAAAGAGTGGCATTCCAGACCAAAAAAGCAAGCCGAATCGAATTTTGCCCCCAAACTTTCGCCTATTTTTATTTCCATATTTGGAAATGTTTACCTCCTCATGACTCCACAGTACAGCAGGAAGAAGCACTATGAGTCATTTTAACAGCATAAGGGCCTGGCTGTGGGTCCTCCTCACTGAGGGCTTCTCTAGTCCATAGACACACGGGATGCTGTGAGTATCCTTTTCTCTTCTCTTCTATTCTATTCAATTCAGTTGTGGATGTGTTTGGACTTGCATACATGTAAACCTTGCTGCAATCCTGTGGCACATCACTCTACCCTTGTTTATAATCGTAGTTATGCTCTTCACAGTGCAAGTATAGCTTAAAACAAATAATATATAGGTAGTTAGAGAGGCTGCTGTTTATGGCCTTCATTTTTTGGGTGCATTTGTTAGTAGTAGCCACCTGATATTTTCCTGTAGGTTTTGAATTACTTGTATTTAGTCATTCATACAATTGTTTAAGGTTGTACAGCTGATGTACAGTTGTACAATTAAAATTAAGTGGCTTGTACTTCGCACAACACGTGTGTCTGAGCTTTATTTTAATCTGTGAATTTAAAGACCAACCTTCAGTGGGTTTAGAAACACTTCCTCAGTCTGTATACATATACATGTCCTTCCTTTTCTGTCGACCAAGGCTGGATTTTGGACGTGTGCTTTTTATTTTGCACAGAGATGGATTTGCATGTCATCGGTCTTTTTGGATGGTTATGTGACTCTTTTCTGTGTTTGGTAATATTTGCTGAGGAGACATGTTTGTGGAATGTATTACTCATGGTGTGAAGAAAGTATGTTGAGCTATACTGCCTTTAAAGGGAAACTTTAAAAAGCTCAAATATGTAGTTGCGGGACAGTGTATTTGCGTTAAGAAGGAATGAATTTGTTCAGGCAGGGCAGTGTGTTTCTCTGTCTAACCACATTCTATAGGCTACTATTCTATTGGGGTCTCAAACTCCATCTTCCTGGGGACCGATAGCCAGGTGCCTGTTGTCTGTGCAGGGTCCAGTGGAGCATAACAAATACAAGTGTTTTTGCAATCATGAATTTGAACTAAATACAGTTATTATGCATGGACAGAGCTTTTCTGAGTTGCGCATCTCATCTCCCTCATGCCTAGCATACTGCTCTGCCTGTTTAGTGGTGTAATGACGCATGAGATTGTAAATCCTTCCTTGAGAACTGCATTTTCTCCTTGAACATTAAGCAGGTACCCATTACCCATTAAGAGACCAGAAACATCACAATCTGGTTTTAAAGTGAGGGTCAGAAGTAACATAATAATAATAATAATTCATGATTTTGAATTTAATACACACACACACACACACACACACACAGACAGTCTGGTCAGCTATCCTTGTGGGGACTCTCCATAGGCGTAATGGTTTTTCTACTGTACAGACCGTATTTTCTATTGCCCTACACCAACCCTACCCCTCACAGGAAACTTTCTGCATTTTTAGATTTTCAAAAAACGTAATTCTGTATGATTTATAAGCTTTTGTACCCGTGGGGACCACAATTTAGGTCCCCATCGTGACACGAGTACCCATGAGTCTGTGTGTAGTCTGGTTTAAGTCCCCACCAGGATATATAAACCAGTACACACACACACAAAATCATAAAACATTATTATCACAAACAAGTATTTTTATTTTAAGTATTATTTTCATTTTGTATGGAGCTGTACTTTTTTGTCAAGAGGTGCTAAATCCTGGAAGTTACAAGGTTTTGAATTATTTTCCGTTCAGGGAGGAGAATATCTTTTGCCAAAATGTTCAGTTATCTTTGTTTAATCATGCTATTTGTGAAAAAACAAATGAAGCGTAGCTCACAGTCACCACATCTAAAATAGTACATACAGAGTCTTACCAGTTTTAAGCCTCTGGAATTTTACCTTAAGTTGGTGCTGTGAATCTACCTGTATTTGTGCTCCGTTTAATAGGAATATCTTTAGTTTATGCACACTGCATCCCACCGCCTTTATTCTTGACCGCTAGTAAACCAACATTTTAGCTGTTTACACCTTCACATTCCTCTGGTACCACACCATAGCAGTGGCAGGGAAAGGTAGACCTTAATGGGATTTTCCATAGCCGTGAGGTGCGATATACTTGACTTTAATGATAGAACGGTATTATAATCTCATTACTTTTCGCTCAACGGTACTGAAGGGTCTTCATATCCAGTGCTGGTTGGCTTCAGGCAAGGTTTACTGTAAACTCTTCAGCGCTTGTCTTAATTCAGTTTGGAGCCAGTGCAAACAGCAGCTGGAGCACTTAGCATCAGTCAAAACATTTTACTATTCATGAATCATCGCTCTGTTTTATCTTAACTAACAAAGTCTTTCTTAACTTTTGTTTCATTTATTCATCCCCCAAATGTGTGACGACTCATCTTGTTAGGTGATGGTGAACACTTGAATTTTGCTTTAATTAATCAGAGGGCAGTAGCAAGTGCTTCCATTAAACGACACGTCGGATTGCTAACTTTTTCTTTTAAAAGGCCAGGGGATTTGTTTTAAAAGGAGACCGGAACCTCTTGTTGTTTGGCTCTTTTTGTTATGAGAAATTAGTAATTTTTCTTCTATGACACACTGAAATATGGTTGCACAAGCTACGCTAGCACTGCTGTGAGAATCCTCCACCTCGTCTTTAGAAACTGGATTAAGATTTTAATCTGTGTGCACTTGCTTCTCAGCGCTGGCCTTTGTTTCCTAACGTATTCTTGTCTCCAGTTTGAGAAATTTCTGGTGTTTGTTTTCAGACGGTGTCGTCAATCCGAGAGAACCTCCTGACAACAAATAAACTTCAGGACTGATTAACGAGAGCAATTAGAAACCTGGGCAGATTGCAAGAAAGCAAAGATAAATAAGTGGATGATTATCTGTTTATAAAAAGATTCACACTGAGGGTTTGATTGCTTGCTATTTTTAAATGCAGTTCTCTTGAGTTTTATGATTGAAGGTTAAGACTTTAATGAAAGCATCGGCATGATACTAAACATTTCTTTAACAGTTTTCTTTGCGGTGATGCCAGTGTCCTTGTTTTTGTTTGGGGTCAATGAAATATGGCAAAAAAATTTGGAGTTAGTTTTATAGTTCCCCTGAGATTATATTCTGTT